CACACCTTGAATATGCTGTGCAATTGTGGGCACCTGTTCTAAAGAAGGATATCATGGCACTAGAAAGAGTGCAGAGACGAGCTACAAAATTGGTAAAAGGAATGGAGCATTTTAGTTACGAAGAAAGGTTAAAAAATGTAAATCTATTTAGTTTGGAAAAGAGGGGATATGATAACATTATACAAATATATTCAGGGCCAGTACAAACCATTATTTGGAAATCTATTCATAAATACGGCTATACATAGGACATGAGGTCACACATTTAGGCTGGAGGAAAGGACATTTCATCTAAGAAAAAAAAAAGTTGTTTTACAATAAGAGCAATAAGGATATGCAATTCTCTTCCTGAAGAGGTGGTTTTAACAGAGTCCATACAGATGTTTAAACTGCAATTGGATTAATACTTTAAAAACATAACAAACAGGGATATAATTTCTAATTAGTGGGGTAATAGCTGCTTGATCCAAGGAGACATTGGACTGCTATTTTTGGGTCAAGATAGATTTTTTTTCCTAGTTTGTTGCAAAATTGGAAGTGCTTCAGATTAGGTTTTTTGCCTTCTTTTGGATCAACAGTAAAAACATATGTGAGGAAGACTGAACTTTATGGATGCAAGTCTCTTTTCAGCTATGTAACTATGTAATTAGTAAGTCACCTAAAATGTCTTAGAAGAGCCTCGCATCTTATTCACACTCCTACTTATACCCCTACCAATATAGTGTCTCCCTTTGTCCATTTGAAATGTTGGGAAACATTGGGAAATATGTGTATCATTATTTAACAACACCCATTTCTGGTGTAACATAGGCTTTTAAAGGGAAACTCCACTGCCCAAATACAATTAATAAATAAAGGTCACTGTTTAGTAGATATACCCCAAATGAAAAACATGCATGCATTAAAATATGCATTTTTTTAATTGTTGGCAAATCTAAAAACAGTTCTCTTATCTGCTGCCTTTGCAAGCCCTCCCCTTCCTATCCCAGCTCAGACTATATGTAGCTGTCCAATCAAAGACTTTCCAATGCAACTTAATGGCAAGTCCTTGCAAGGCAGGTGCTGTGAGCAATTGCTACCTCAGCTCCACTGATCTAACCAAACCAGGAAGTAAAATGACCTGTTGTCTGAATGACAACCATGTAAATTTATGAAAGTGTCAATTTCAATAGCAATTTGCAGTTTTTGTAAAATGAAAAAAAGAGGAAACACTCTTCACACATTTGGCTTTTCAGCAAGCTAAAGTGCTTTAGGGGCCTCTCTTCAATGTGCCTAGTGTAAAGGAATTCCAAAGTACTATGTCCATAAAGGACCTTGTTGTCACTGTCTACTTCAGTGGTAAGCAACCTTCAGATGTTGTGGACTATACATCTCATAATGCTCTTACAGCCAAAATCTAGTCCACAACATCTGAGTGCTGAAGGTAACCCTCCCTTCTCCTGAAAAGCAACATAAAAAACCAGCGAACACAACCGCCCATTATAAATACAGCAAATCTGAGCTTATTATATGTCGATCTGACCTGTCCTAGGGCTGGTAACACACTAGAATCAGTAGCAGAATCTACCTTCAGCTAAACAAACACTGTTAAGCTTGACACTGCTCCGACTGGCACACTCTGCGACTGGCCCTTGGGGAGGTGGCCGATTCCCTGGCTGCAGTTACATGCTCACAGTGACTGCACTGCAGCCCTGTCACACCCCCTTTGCACCGGTGGGGAATATCTCGGTCCCCACTGGGGCAACATACCTTCTTAAAGCAGCAGACCCATTTCCAGTTGACCCTAAGCGGCACTCACACACCCAGCACAGCGCTACCAAGATGGCCACTGAGCTGAAATCGCAGCAGAGCCGATTGGGCCTAGCGGACCAAGAATGGAGAGAGGCTTTTTAAGCCAGGTTTGAGGCAATTTGCATGGCATTCTAGCATAGAATAAATGCAATATCTCACCTGTCAGCTACTAGTGCTGAGAGGATGTTCAGCACTACCATCCCGGCTGCCCGTTCTTCTTCGGGGCTGGGAGCCCACCTGGAGTTTACTCCACAGCGCAGTCCATACACCTGAAGGGAGGTCCGGCATAAGACCCACGTTCCTGCCACTGAGAATGGGAGGATCCATAGACATGAGGCAAGGGCTCCTATCAAGGCATGGAGCCATAGGTGTGGAGAGTTGAGGCATTGCGGTGTCACCCTCACATGACGACAAACTTCACTGCACAACCCATACACTTCTGAATCAGTAAGATGCGATAAAGAACCTGGTGTGAGATCTACTTCTAGATAACAGCCTGACACAGAGATTGATTGTTTGTTATGGCCGCCTCTTGGTGTCAGATGATGCCTGGCTGATATGTGTTATTACCCCTAGGTAGCTGCTCAGCTAGTATTATAGGGATCTCTGCTACTCTACTCATTGTTTCTTAATGTTTTGTACCTTTCCTTTGATATACCCAATGGCATTACAGCTTATCTGCCTTAACAATATGTTGAATACAATGTTATACTACACTGCTTTGATTGACCATACTGTCAGTCCGTATACTCTGATTCAGTTACTGCTGTCGTTTACTCATATACTGACGCATTATGCTTGTCTTCATAATTTTATAAAATTGTGCATGTCTTTCTAAATTCCTTACACCTTGTAACACCTGGATTGCGACATGCTTGATGCTTTTTTGTTGGGGCATGTTAAGCTTGTTTGTATCTACAATCAGCAAAATTATAAACGCAACACTTTTGTTTTTGCCCCCATTTTTCATGAGCTGAACTCAAAGATCTAAGACCTTTTCTATGTACACAAAAGGCCTATTTCTCTCAAATATTGTTCACAAATCTGTTTAAATCTGTGTAAGTGAGCACTTCTCCTTTGCCGAGATAATCTATCCACCTCACAAGGATGCTGATTAGACAGTATGATTATTGCACAAGTGTGCCTTAGGATGGCCACAATAAAAGGCAACTCTAAAATGTGCGGTTTTACTGTATTGAGAGGGTCCGGGCGGGTCTGAAAACCAGTCAGTATCTGGTGTGATCACCATTTGTCTTACGCAGTGCAACACATCTCCTTCGCATAGAGTTGATCAGGCTGTTGATTGTGGCCTGTAGAATGTTGGTCCACTCCTCTTCAATGACTGTGCGAAGTTGCTGGATATTGGCAGGACCTGGAACATGCTGTCTACGCCGATCCAGAGCATCCCAAACATGCTAAATGGGTGGCATGTCCGATGAGTATGCTGGCCATGCAAGAACTGGGATGTTTTTAGCTTCCAGGAACTGTGTACAGATCCTACCAACACAAGGGCGTGCATTATTATGCTGCAACATGAGGTGATTGTCATGGATGAATGGCACAGCAATGGGCCTCAAGATCCCGTCATGGTATCTCTGTGCATTCAAAATGCCATCAATAAAATGCACCTGTGTTCACTGTCTATAACATACGCCTGCCCATACCATAGCCCCACCGCCACCATGGGCCACTCGATCCACAATGTTGACATCATACATGATGTCTGCCATCTGCCCTATACAGTGAAAACCAGGATTCATCCATGAAGAGAACACCTGTCCAAAGTGCCAGACACCATCGAATGTGAGCATTTGCCCACTCAAGTCAGTTACAATGACTAACTACAGTTAGGTCGAGACCCCAATGAGGATGACGAACATGCAGATGAGCTAATAGTGTGCTTACAGCGCAGTGGGAAACATTCTAATTGTTTTGCTGCAAATCTGCTAAATAGTTCATTTGCGGCCTGCGGTGCACTTCATATCTGAAAGTCAAACAGAAGCGTCAAATAGTGCGCTTACAGCGCAGTTGCAAACATTCTAATTGTTTTACTGCTAATCTGCTGCTTACATTGGAGTTTTAAAAAGTATTTTTTTTTTTGGTGCTAAATAGTATATTTGGGGTGTTCATGTCATATCTGAGAGTCAAATCGAAGCGTAACTTTGATTCGAATTTACTACATTGGTCACTTGTAATATTGTTTCACACCTACAACACTTGTTACACAGATCTACGTGATAGAAAACAGATTGATATTTTCTACACTAGAAACTACCAGATAACAAGCTGCTATATTTAAACCAGTTATCAATAGCTAAGAGGTACTTAAACAATATTGTAATTCTGGGGCAAGACCCTCACAAGTCAAACTGAGAGGTTAGTTTATAGGGAAAACTGTTGCCTGGATACAATTCTAAAACAATTTCCATATGTCCTTTGCAGACTTTACATGCTGGAAAAACACAGGTGCCAACTACTGTGGCTTTCTGCAGTGTGCATACCGGCAAGGAGGGCAGGGTTGAGGACTGTGTGGAGGATGATGAGGTCCTAGACCCCACATGGAATCAAGGTCATGCAAGTGATGTGTGCAGTTTGGAGGAAGAGGCACTGGTCACACAGAGGCACCAGCACAGCATTAGAGGGAGCAGGGTGTAAAAGCATCCCCTAGCGCTCGTCGGCATGTATTAGCTCGAGAATTACCAGTTATCCAAGTAATACATGTAGCGATCAAAGGATCCATAATAGAGTTGAGTGAACCCGAACTGCAAAGTTTGGGTTCGTACCAGATTTAACGATCCATTTGTAGTTTCACAGTCAGGTGGGCAGTCCGGTAACCAGGACCCAGACACTGTCTGGGTGACGGTCGGACGACTGGGACCCAGTATGCCTGATGTTGAAGTTAGGAGTCACAGTGTGGAATGGATTAGCAGGTTCTGGTGCAGGGTAACCGCACACCCCTTGGTGTTGAGCACCAGCATTTGTGCGGCCACATACCAGGATCCTGATGCAGCTTCAGTAAAAAGAGTACTGGATACCAGAAGCCATCACCAGACTGATCCGCAACTTGGAACAGGATGTGACATTCACTGTTGCTGCTGTGCACGCTTTTGGCATTCGCACCCTGCTGCTGCTCGCCTGTCTGCACTGCAGCATAACTTTGGCTTTCCCGCTCACCGCCTCATGAGACTGTGCGAGCAGCAGCAGGCGATAGTGGAGTTTCAGCTGCAGCATGCATGGGTCAGTGGCTCTGTACCAGACTTCCCTCCAATTGATCAAAGTTAAAGGATTTCAAGTGGACTCATTACAATTACAGGGCCTCTAAAGAGTCCTGTATTGTTATTTTTCGTCACTACCTTCCCGCATCGGAAGTGGGTCATTTGCGCGCCTGCTGCCTTCCTTGCATGTGGTAGCCATTTCTCAGGGTCCCTGTACAGAATGGAACCCTGACTCCCCATTACCCGTGGTCACCATGGTAGGCACAGAAACTGGCATCGAAAGTTGATATGGATGACATCCAAATGCAAAGTCGCCATCACGGGGATGTGCGATTGGCCCGAGGTTCTCTAGAGTCAACAAAGTGCCTGCGCAACTATAATGTCAACAGCTACTCTGCGGAACAGAGTTGTCTTTTTTTATATGTAGCAATATTTTGGGGGCTACCCCAATTAAAAAAAATATATACCTAAAAAACAGTGTTGGCTACCTCCTCCTCCTTTAACCCCGCTTCCACCTACACCACCATGGTCACCGCCTCCTCAACCTATGGGTCACTTAGTATAAACTATGTACACAATAGCAGAGGTTTGTGAAGGCCTTTTCTCCATGCATCAGGAGTTGAGCTCAGTTTGAACAATGAAAGAGAATACCCTGCACTCCAACCCTCTCTCAAATGGATAATTCTGGTGATCCACCTGACAGCCATGCTTTAGATTTTGATTTATGTTCTTACAAAGCTAAAATCAAAGATTCCATGTAGTGCTATTTTATGGCGCAGCTGTATTTTAATTTTATGTGTTATTTTAAGTGATTTCCCTATCCACATTTGTTTGCAGGGCACTTGTTCTACTCTTACCCTCATTTTACTTCCTTTTGCAGCTCTCTAGCCATTTACAGGAGTTTTTTAGAGGCATTTTTGTGCCCAAAAATTCCGGTCCCCATTGACATCAATAGGGTTCGGGGTCAAGTTCGAGCCCGAACCCGGACGTTTTTTCAAAGTTCGGCTGAACCCGCCGGACCCGAACATCCAGGTGTCCTCTCAACTCTAATTAACTCAGCAAAGGAGAAGTGCTCACTAACACAGATTTAAACAGATTTGTAAACAACATTTGAGAGAAATAGGCCTTTTGTGTACATAGAAAAAGTCTTAGATCTTTGAGTTCAGCTCATGAAAAATGGGGGCAAAAACAAAAGTGTTGCGTTTGTATGATGAATAAAATGCAAATAATGCCCTGAAAAATTAATTAAAAAAATTATTATTAATAATTAACTACTGTATACCAACAAACAACTTCTGTATACCAGCAAGATGGAACCAGGCCTCAACCAAACGAAACTGAAAGCTTTTCACCTGCAGTCCCCCAAGAGACAGAAATGCATATTGCTCTTATTTGAGAATCACTTTCTCGGTATTTGAATTGTATTCCAGGATTTGCTTGTCTTCAGGTAAAGGAGAACTTGCAATGATTTGAGACTTTACATAAAGTCTCATAAGTCTTTCACGAAGGTCTTTATGTTATATAGTTTGAATACCATGTCATAGACATATTATTTATAATTGTAACAGAACATGTTCCGAATTCTATTTTTTTTTTTAATTTCTGGAAAATTGCAAAAACTATTTTGGGAAAAAAGGTAATAAAACCATTTTTTTCATCGAGTTTTCCATTTGTTTCTAAATCTTTCCATCTCTAAAAATAATATCTCTTAATTAAATGTTTTTTTTCCCCAGTACACCTCCTCAGTGTGTTTTGCTCCCTTAGTATGAATTTATTTTTAATTAGCTGTTTGAGTTTTAGAAGGGAGTATAAATACTATTGATAAAAAGTGTGCAAACTGCAAGGGATATTAACTATTGGCATTTGTCTTCAACTTTGAAGATTACGTTATTGACTGAATAATTATCCAACTCCCGGCATTTATACACGCTGGAATGAAAATTGATTTAGCTCAGTCTTCCTTACCGGCCTTAACAAGTACTTAATTTGTTGCTTTTTGAGACCTTTACTGCGTTTGATTGACAAATTAACACAAATATTTTAAAATCCATTAAAAATTATGAAGAACATTGTACCTTAATATAAACCATTTGAGATAGGTGCGTGATACACAGTACCAAAACCCAAAATTGCAATTTCACTGAATTTACAGCTACTACATTTGTTTATATTTGTGTTCCATGGAAGAACTTGGCTCTAATAAGTAATTTCAGGAACAAAAAAAAAACCAATCAATTTACAAATTAGATTAAATTACTTTTTAATGTACCTAATTGACTTCAAAGTTAGCATTCACAAAACCTTGGGGGGAAAAAAGAGACCACAAATTTTCTTTGAATAGTCGCAAGTTCCCAGAAACAATCTGGATAATTTACAATCAAAACACTGGTGACACAGAAAAGTTACACCACAATTGTATGTGTTAGCATGCTTTTGTGGATGGCTAGAAACCAAAAAAAAATTACATGGTCCTGAGATAAGTCTCATTCTGTGGACTGAAACGTCGACACTGCGACTTTCCGCTGCCTGCCTTAAAGGGACCCTAACTATTTAGGTTATTCGGTCCCCCTTAAATAGTTAAATGAAGTGATTTATTTACCTGTGGCCTTATGGATGATCAGAAAAATGACAGAGAAATACATTCTGCATTCTCTAACGGCAATAAACCAATACGAAATAAAAGAGCAAAAGAGATAAATAAAATAAAACAACATTTTTTTTTTACGGAGAGTAGTTAGACAAAGTATCAATGTTTACAAAAATAACAATGCAAGACACAAATCCTATCTCGATGCTGTAATCACTGTACCTAAGGATACATTTGTGATTGTATAATGTAGCTGAGTGGTTAGTGTTGCTTTTTTTTTTTTTTCTCGTTGACACTCAGTTTTTCATTGAAAGTTTCTAACATAATAATAAGTAGAAGAATAATATAGGTGGGAATCAGTTACAGAAGTAGTTAAATTTCCCCCCACTGTAAGTATTACTACTCCCCTGTGGTTCCCTATGTGGGTTTGCAAGGAGAGGTTCACGTCTACAGGTATCATCTTAAGTGTTCAAGGGCGTTGCAACGATTTCTTTATATGGGAATCTACATTTGTGAATTGCATTTTAAATGTCCTTGTTGAAAAGTATATGTAGGAAAAACCATTCAAAAAGTTGTATGGCAGTATCCCAAACATACATGTAGAAGTGGAATGAATAAATGAGATCTTATGGTCTTTAAAGGAACACTATAGTCACCTAAATTACTTTAGCTAAATAAAGCAGTGTTAGTGTATAGATCATTCCCCTGCAATTTCACTGCTCAATTCACTGCCATTTAGGAGTTAAATCACTTTGTTTCTGTTTATGCAGCCCTAGGCACACCTCCCCTGGCTATGATTGACAGAGCCTGCATGAAAAAAAAAAACTGGTTTCACTTTCAAACAGATGTAATTTACCTTAAATAATTTTATCTCAATCTCTAAATTGAACTTTAATCACATACAGGAGGCTCTTGCAGGGTCTAGCAAGCTATTAACATAGCAGGGGATAAGAAAATCTTAATTAAACAGAACTTGCAATAAAGAAAGCCTAAATAGGGCTCTCTTTACAGGAAGTGTTTATGGAAGGCTGTGCAAGTCACATGCAGGGAGGTGTGACTAGGGTTCATAAACAAAGGGATTTAACTCCTAAATGGCAGAGGATTGAGCAGTGAGGCTGCATGGGGCATGTTCTATACACCAAAACTGCTTCATTAAGCTAAAGTTGTTCAGGTGACTATAGTGTCCCTTTAATCAGGTAAATCAGGCTCAATTAAGATTCCAAGTTATATAGACTGTAAGCTTGTTTGAGCAGGGTCCTCTACAACCTATCGTTTCTGTAAGTTGTCCTATTTTTAGTTAAATCCCCCCTCTTATAATATTGTAAAGAGCTACGGAATCTGTTGGCGCTATATAAATGGCAATAATAATAATAATATAACGTATGCCTGAATAGAAGAGATCCTCAGACCCCTTGTGAGACCATATGCTGGTGCGGTTGGCCCTGGGTTCCTTCTAATGCAAGACAATGCTAGACCTCATGTGGCTGGAGTGTGTCAGCAGTTCCTGCAAGACAAAGGCATTGATGCTATGGACTGGCCCGCCCGTTCCCCAGACCTGAATCCAATTGAGCACATCTGGGACATCATGTCATGCTCCATCCACCAACATCACGTTGCACCACAGACTGTCCAGGAGTTGGCAGATGCTTTAGTCCAGGTCTGGGAGGAGATCCCTCAGGAGACCATCTGCCACCTCACCAGGAGCATGCGCAGGCATTGCAGGGAGGTCATACAGGCATGTGGAGGCCACACACACTACTGAGTCTCATTTTGACTTGTTTTAAGGATATTACATCAAAGTTGGATCAGCCTGTAGTGTGTTTTTCCATTTTAATTTTGAGTGTGACTCCAAATCCAGACCTCCATGGGTTGAAAAATGTGATTTCCATGTTTTATTTTTGTGTGATTTTGTTGTCAGCACATTCAACTATGTAAAGAACAAAGTATTTCAGAAGAATATTTAATTCATTCAGATCTAGGATGTGTTATTTTTGTGTTCCCTTTATTTTTTTGAGCAGTGTATAAGCATCGAAACAACTTTACCTTAATGAAGCAGGTTTAGTGTATAGATCATGCCCCTGTTATCTCTCTACCATTTAGAAGTTAAATTACTTTTTGTTTATGTCCATGCAGCCCTAGCCACATGCAGCCTGCATGAAATAAAATGGTCTAGAAGGCTATTAACATAGCAGGAGATAAGAAATTCTACTCTAAACAGACTGTGTAATAAAGGAAGTTTAAACATTAGTTCTCACTTTACAGGAAGTGTTTTGGAAGGCTGTATAAGTCACATGCAGAGAGGTGTGACTAGGTCTGCATGAACAAAGTAAGGCTGAGAATTGAGCAATAAGACTGCTGGGGCATGATCTATACACCAAAACCTGTCTACTAGGCTAAAGTTTTTTTGAAGGCTATAGTGTCCCCTTAAGTAAACAAATATATAATTGGTCAAGGAAAATATGTATCACCCACAACAGTATGGAAAGTACCTTACAAAACATAGTAGGCGAAACATGGATGTAAGAAGGCATATGGATGAAATTGTCTTGCTGTTAAAAAGCACCTATCATGACTTATTATATTTGGTGCAATTTCCTAGAAAATAACATTCAATCTATGCATTGTGCTAGCCAAATTACAATAAAGTAGGTTGGAATGGAGCAAGGTATGTGTGGATATTAGATTTGTATTAATATTTATTACACAATTTTATAGAATACTGTCATTGCACCAAATAGCATTGCATGTATTCCACATATTTCCCCTGGCTTGTAAAGAAACATGGGATTTGTAGATCAAGGGGAGCTAATGCGAAAGGTTTGAGCATTCCAATCTTAAACCATGTGATTTCTTTATAGTCCACACTTGCCAACAAATTGAATGTCTCCAATACCCCTACTACAATGTTTTGCTTCTCGGGAATGATTTGAAAATGTATTTGGTCTTAGCTGAACTACTTAAGAACAGC